GTGGACAGCAGCCCCTCAGCCCAGCTCCCTCACACAGACTCCCTCTGCTCTGTTCTTCTGTCTTCCCTAGGCTAGTGACAGGGCCTGCCTGCCCGCCCTGCCCTTCATAAAGGCCTTGATTGACCCATAGGTCAGGGAGGCTGTGGCCCACGGTTCCTTGTGTGCCAAGACCACAGCCTTCTCAGAGAAGGCACAGAACACAATCTCTATCATGAAATTGACCTAGGTGTGGTGGCACACACTTTTAATCCCAGCACTGGAGAGACAGAGGCCGGTGGATGTCTAAGTTGGAGGCCAATGTAGTTCCAGGACAGCCAAAGCTATGTAAAAACAAATTGGTGATGATAAACTACACTCGACCCCCATTTAGATTTTCCAGAATGTCTCTATCCAATCTGTGGCTGGTGGGCAGCATGTGCCCCACGATAACTATGAACGAATGCAACCCAAACATGATATAATGAACTTAGTTAAAATTATGAGATTTGGAGGGATTTGAAAAATATTATTATTATTATTATTATTATTATTATTATTATTATTATTATTATTAGCTCCATTGCTGTTCCCAGGGCCTGACTGTTTGTAGGTAGCAGCATTGTGTCACGTGTTAAAAGGTTGGACAGAGCCTAAGAGACAGTTGCCTTGTTTAGTGTTTACTGACGGCTGGGAAACTAGTCTTGCCTCTACGTTTGCATTCAGGTCGGATGCCAGGGGTTAGCATCAGGAAGTGGAGGAGCCAAGACTGAGCCCCACTAACTGCCTTGACCTGCCTGGCCTGTCTCTATCTGAAGCACCTGGCACAGTGGACACACGCCCGCCAGGGCCCTGCCTGAAGCTGGCACTGGGGTGCGTGTGAGGAGATCCTATCCCTGTCTCTGTGGAACCCCACATTCTTCTCAGGAGCTGCAGGGACCACGAACCTGGCACAAGGGCCGGAACCCCCACTCACATAATTGCCGAGATCCACTCCAGCACGGGGAGCAAGAACAAGACAGGGATGAGGGTGAGGAGGACCCGAGACTCCACTGTCACTCCATGCCAGGACTGATAAAGACCAGGGCTCTACTGCTAAAGTCACCCACAGTCTATGTTCCTCTCCTGAGCCTTATAATTTGGATAGCAATGTACCGTTGATGGTCTGGCTACTGTGGAGGTCCAGACAGTTACACTGCCCAGGACCCTGTAGCTCGCTTAGCATGCTGGGATGTTTGATTGAGGAAATCAGCAAGCATATACTGTTCCCAGAATATGTCTCAGGACCCAGAACGGGACTGTATTCTAGAAGCCAAAACGGGATGCTGACATCACCCAGGCCCAAAGTCTAGCTTTGCTCTTTATCTGTGAGCTTGGCCCTATCATTAACTTCCTGTGTGCCTCAAACCCCCCAGTCTATAAACTTGGCATGATAATAATAGTAGCTATTTCGTGGGTTATTGTGAGGATTGATCTACTTAAGACATTGATTGCCTCGTTATTACTAGGTGGCTGTTGCAGCTCCAGCCATTAAATCCACTCTCCAAAGATAAAATGTGGAGGAAGGACTCAGCCCCCCCCCCTTTTTTTTTTTTTTTTTTTTTTTTTGCTCTTTTTGTCTTTAAATGGCAGTCCTTTTTGAAAGCATTTTTTTTTTTTTTTTTTTTCCTAAACTCCGTTGACCATAACTGGGTCACACGGGCAACCTTAGCTGCATTGGAAGCCGGGAGATAACTTTTTAAAAGCAGAACTCTTACAGACTGAAGGAGATGGGCGGTGGAGTAGCAGGCTCCATCTCAGCTCCCACGGTCACCGATTGTGGATGTGTCCACTGGGGACACTGCACTGCAACCCCCATCCTCAGGGAAGAGGCACCTGGAGCCTCTTGTGTTGGTAAGTTAGCTCCATGGGTAGCAAGCAACTCCCCTAGGCGGGAGAGTCTCCCAGCAACCATCACCTGAATACGGCTTTTGTTGGTCCCTCTGCATCTCCACCTGCTCCCTGTCCAGGGGTCTGAGGATTGCGGTTTGCTGCCATTTGTAGTGCTGTTTGCTTTTGTGTGCTTGGACAAGGCCAGGATAGTTCCGGAAGCCTCCTATGAGTGGGGCTCGAGCCTTTGTAACAGCTTGGCTTAGCAGCTTGGCCTTGCTCCTATCTCCCACAATGGCTGTCTACACAGGCTGGAATGGAGAGTCGGTAGTCTGTACTGCTCACTATCCAGCCTCCTGTGCCTGAAAAGCAAGTGTGGCCTCTGCGGCTGAGAAACTTGGCTCATTTTTCTTAATTATTGAACCCAAAAAAGCACCTGTTCTTGCTGGCAACTGTGTTGAGCTGTGCAGCTACACACCAGAGTTCAGAGTCTCTGTTCCCACACACTAGCAGCAACATTCATCTTTACAGAGAGTACTCCCGTCTAAGTACCTCTGCAAAGGCCCAGAAATGGACAGCAGCATCTTGTCCAAGGACACACTGCAAGGTACCAAACACTCTGAGGAGGAAAACCAGCTAACTCCAGCTTTTTCTTTGTCCCTTGTTTCTGATGTGTAGTTTGGTCCCCTCTATGCAGAAGGGAAAACCAGCTGTGCATATTGATAGTACTCACGTACTGTGGGCAGGGTGCTGGGCACATTCAAGTGGTTTGTTTTGGGGTAGAGCTAGGGGTGGAAACTCAGGGCCTTGGGCACCCTAGCCACACCTCCAACCTCCATTTAAGTTTCATTTACCCCATTTCATAGGTAAGAAAACCGAGGCCTATAGACAAAGGCCTTCCCTGTCCAGTGATTCCAGGACCGCAGTCTGGGGCCCAATCTCTCGAAGCCCTGTGGTAGGTTGGCTCTGATCCGGGAGTGTGCAGTGCTGTTGGCAAGCTGTACTGCCTTGCCCAGGCAATGCAGGTGCTTAGTAAGCTCACCCGAACCCTTCATTTTCCCTTAGTTGTTTTGCCAGCCTGGTTTCCTAGGACTGGGCCCTTGTTAGATGTGCTTGGTTCCTGTTGGCTGCTTTAGAGCTGGGCCGGGCTGAAGGGCGGGGCCTTAGTGCCAGGTACACCTGTTAGGGTGGTGCTTGTGGTCCCAGGGCCCCCATGTCTGCCCGTGGCCAGGCTCAGGTGCTGCAACTGTTGTGTGTTTCCACTGACACCCACTGCCTCGGGGTGTTCTAGAATGCCAGTCCCTGGGGCACTCTGCTTCCTGCACCCGTTACCGTGGGAGGAGAGAACCCCACTGGGAAGAAACGGCACGCCCGGTCAAATTAGAATGTAGGACAACACAAATGAGTGCCAAGCCTAAGTGCGTTCCACATGGTACTGGGGATACACTTACCCTAAGAACGACCCATCGCTTCTCTGTGGGCAGCCCCCAGTGTCTCTGGAGTTTTAGCTCTTGTTTTACTTTGTTTTGCTTTTCTGCATCTGGCAGCCCTGACTGGGAGGGATCCCTGTGCTGTGTAACAAACAAGACCCCAAGAAAGGACATAAAGTTTATGGAAGAATTAGCAAGGTGGGACCCACTACTAAGCAGGCTGCATGGATAATGATAATAAGACCTTGGTGGCTTCCTCGGAGTGCCTTGAAGACACTCACATATATATGATGGGCAAATGAAGACCACTGATAAAGGAGAGGAAAATTCCAGAGTCTGGAGTATCACTAAAGATGGCAAGCCAGAGCAAGGGACAAGTGGCTGGGGCTAAGGTCTTTTATGATCTGACCTCCCACCTGGAGTGAGGGCTGGGCCAGGACCAATCAGGTTTTTGAAGGGACATGACAGCAGCCTGCCTGCCCTGGAGTCCACCAGTGTGGACAGAGCAGGCAAGCGCCTCTCCTCACTGGGGTCTTTGGGGAAAGAACCTGTCTGAGGAAGCGAGGTGGGGACATAGATCTGTCACATGAGGGAGGTGGACACAGGGAACCTGGAGATGGATGGTGGGAAGCCACAAAGAGCCTCATGGTTGCAGTGGAGGGTGGGAATGGCCATCGATAGTGCTGGAGCTGCCTTTGGCAGAGTCCCTGGGTCTGTTTCCAGACCTGTCACTGTGTCCTTCAATGTGGTTCTTTTCCTGCCACCAAGATGAGGACTCACTCTTTTTTAGAGGGTGGGGGAGGTAAAGGAAACCACATAGCCCAGGCTGGCCTGAACTCATTATTAGCCCAGGCTGGTCTTGAACCTGCAGCAGCAATCCTCCTGTTTTAACCTCTAAGGCTGGTGTTAAACAAGTGTGCTACCATACCTGGTAGCTTCATTCTTGAAGTGACTTCATAAGAGTGGTCATCACCAAGGCCCACACCACCTGCCACCCGTATGCACCCCCCTCCTGTGTCTCCTGTCCCCACGAGAATGCGGTGCTGTCCCCAGCACTTATGGTAGTTTGAGGTTTATCTGTCTTAAAGGGACACAACAGGACTACAGTGGCAAATGATGCTTCGTGAGACTCATCTTTAAAGCCTCATCTGTTACCTGGGTACCTTGTTTCTTAAGACGCAAGGGTCTCAGGATGCTCACACAGGCTGCATAGAGATGTTATCATACCCTACCCCCATGGTACCTCCATTCTTGGGGCTATGCCTGTAAATTCCCCGGGGGGGGGCATGTGATCTGCAGGATGTAGTTGTGCCCTTCATCACCAAGTCTTCAGTGTGACACTGTTCAAATTCTGACTCAGCACCAGATGCACACCTGTGGCTTACCATAGTGTAGCTTGGCCTTTCAGAGTTCCTTCACCTCTCCGAGCTTCGGTGGCCTGATGTGTATAGTGGGGATCCTGTTGGTACCAGGCTCAGGTTTGGGGGAGTCTATGAGAAATTACACACTGAGCTTCCCCAGGCATGGGGTCACTCATGTTCAGAATGTTGTCTCCTAAGTCTATAGCCATCAGGAGGACACTGAATGGCCACAGAAGCATTGACAGCTCAGGGGTGTAGTAGGTATTTTCCCCACTTGGGAAAAGGTCCTGTGTGCACAGCTCACGGGGGTCACTTGAGCCCTTCCAGGCCCCCCCACCTCTGACCAACTGCTCTTGTCCCCTAGTGCTCCTGCGGGAGGAAGTGGTCCAGCTTCAGGAGGAAGTACACCTTCTCCGGCAGATGAAGGAGATGCTGGCCAAGGACCTGGAGGAGTCACAGGGCGGCAAGTGCTCCGAGGTCCTCTCAGCCACAGAGCTTCGGGTGCAGCTGGTGCAGAAGGAGCAGGAACTGGCCCGAGCCAAAGAAGCCTTGCAAGGTGAGTGACAGGCAACAGGGGACAGCTCCTGCCTGGGCTCTCCCAGCCATTCTGAGCTTCCTGGACTTGGCCCCTATCACATCTGTCTCAGGGTGACAAGACTGAATAGTGAGTGGGCTTTTTAAAACTTTTATTTGAAGCCAGGAGGTGGCTCACGTCTTTAATCCCAGCATTTAGGAGGCAGAGGCAGGTAGATCTCTGTAAGTTCGAGCCAGCCTGCTCTACAGAGTGAGTTCCAGGTTGGCCAGGGCTGTTACACAGAGAGACCCTGTCTCTAAAACACAACAGCAACAACAACAAATTTGTGTGAAGTTTTTCATTAGTATATGCTTTACATAATAATGGGCTTGTTATGGCATTTACATGTATATAGTGTGCTTTAATCATATTCACCCCCCATCACCCTCTCTTGCTCCTCCCCCTCCCTCAGATCCCTTCCTTTCCCCAACCAGTCCCCATCTACATCCACCCCCCCACCCCCACCCCGTGTTTCATTAGGGCTGCTTAAGGGAGGATGGGTGAAGGTCTATTTCCAGGAACTTGGGCACATTGCCAGTGGTTTCACCACTAAAGCAAATGTTTCTTGTGCCTTCAGCAGCTATTAACTGCCCACAGATTCTCAGGGAGGGTGGGGCCAAGGAAGGCATCTTTGATAAACCAGGACACTGACCTACTGCTGAATCTATCCTACATTCTTGAGAACCTGCATGACCTCCCTGAGCATGTTCTGGGCTCTGCTGGAGAAATGCCTGTGGCCCCACTGCTGTTCCCCAAGGTGGGCTCTGAGAAGGGTGTGAGTTTATTCTCACCACTCAGACCAGTGCAGTTTCCCTATGAGATGTAGCATCGTGCAGCCCAGATTCTGGGGAGACACTTGAAGCTTTGTAGGTGTGTGGGAAATCTCTTGAGTCAGACGGACCACAGTTCTTGGTCAACAGCTGCCCAAAGATTACAGACCCAGTTCCTTGAAAGAGGTCCCGTCTCCTTTATTTCCTACAAGGCTACTTGCCCATGATCTGGGCTTCAGGGAAGATTCCAGAAAGTTCTTTGAGAAAGGCAGGAAGCCTAAGATGCAGCTGCCATGATGCTTTGAGAAGTTGCTCCCACAGTGTCTCCAGAGAACAGCGTTTGGGTTGTGCATGCTGCTGATTCTGAAAGAGTGCATTCAACCTTTTGACATTTGTGACAGATGTCATCTGCAAGAGTTCACACTTGAGAAGTGTGCAGGCCAGCTATCAGACATAAAGAACTGCAAAAACAAGTCTCGTGTTTTAAGGCAGTTTATGATTTTGTGGTGTCCCTGAGGGCTGTGGGTTGAACACACCTGCCAAATGTCTAGAAAAGCTTTGTTCATGAAGCCAGAGCTGCTTGTTACTCCAACCACCATGATACCAAGAGGGGTCAAGTTCTTCCTGTAACCGGTCCTGGGTGAGCATCTCAGGTGGGCTTGTTTCTTGCTGGCTTTTCTTAAATTAACCCGCTTTCCTTTTGCCTCTGGGCCTTTTCCTTTGGTACTCCTGTATTCCTTACTTTGTTTCTTATTCCATGGCTTGCTGGTTGGCTGGGTGGCTGGCCCCTGACATCCTCCTCCCCTTGTTCTCTTGTTCCTTTTTTCCCCTTCCATTCTCCTTCTATTTATACTCTCTGCCTGCCAGCCCTGCCTCGCTATTGGCCACTCAGCTCTTTATGAGACCATCAGGTATTTTAGACAGGCACAGTAACACAGCTTCACAGAGTTAAACAAATACAGCATAAACAAAAGTCACACACCTTAAAATAATATTCCCCAACACACCTCCTCCAGCAAGACTACACCTCCTAATCCTTCCTAGTTCTACCAACTGGGAACCAAGTATTCCAATATATAAGCCGATGAAGGCTATTCTCATTCAGACTTCCTACCTCTCTGCCTGAGGACCCCTGATGGTGGCCTCTCTGTAGGGGACCAGCCCAAGCAAAAGGACTCAGGGATGTCAAGTAACTTGACCAGGGTCCCAGAGCCCAGCAAGGCAGAGGCCTTTTCTGTTGCACTAACATGTCTTGTCCTTCCTCTGCCTGTTTCCGCTGTGGAGTCAGCTTGAGATAGAAGATCGAGACCACTTTAACTCAGCCATGGGATGACTAGCTCAGGAGAACTTGTACCCCAACTATATCTATCCCTTATTGTTTCAATACCACATTTTCCTTTATAGTCCAGGCTAGCCTTGCACTCTCTATGTAGCCTAAGCTGGCTGTTAAATCACTGTGATCCATCTGTCTCATCCTCCCAAGAGCTGGGTTTGTAGGTGTGAGCCACCACACCTACCTCTTAACTAATTTTGACCTTGTCTAACATTCCCAACCTATCTGAAACTGCATTCCTTTGAGGTAATGGTGGTACCCATGTGTTATGTGCAGTTTTCTGCCAACCTGGTCCCACAACCATGTCAGTTCCAAAATAACACACAGAGACTCTATTAGTTATAAAGCTGTTGGCCAGTTACTAGCTCTTCTTATTGGCTAGCTGTCTAAATATTAACTCATTTCTATCTAAGTATTTCCACGTGGTCTTATCTTACCTGAGTAAGGGTCCAGACATCTTCGCTCATGTAATACATTTCTACTACCTCTCCCAAAATCCTTGTCTCCTAGTCCCGCCTATCTTGTTTTCCTATTGGCCAACAGGGCTTTATTCATTACTCAATAAGAGAAACATATTTACAAAATGACATCTCCCATCAGCCTTGATTCTTACCTTCAGGACCAATGAGAGAGGCTGCCTCTCAAGTCAGGCCGAGAGGGTTGGGTGACATACAACATGACTGGCATGCTGCATACTGTGATTTATACAGAAGCCCAGTGATTGGCAGATGGCAGGGGCAAGGCCTACCTCCTCAGATCTGCTCAGAGCTACCACCTGTCTGGCTTCTAGGCCAAAGGCACCTCAGAGCCCATGCACTCAAAGCAACAGTGTCCCTGAAGAGCCAGTGGCTGGACACCTCCAGCCACCCACAGCATCCCACCTGGAATCCTGCAGCGTCATTAAAAAAAAAAAAAAAAAAAAAAAAAAAAAAAAAAAACTCCCTTCCAAATCAGCCGGTGCCCAAATTGCAGACAGATGTGGCAGGTGGAGGTTGGGCGTGCAGAGGGATTTATGCACTGTAATGAGGAGACTGAGCAGACGTGTTCCTGCAGAGCAGGCAGCAGATGGCAGTGACACTTGTTAACAGACAGTGGCCCCAGGGAAAAGCAATGCCCCAAAGACTTCCGCCCTGGCTGAGTCCCCTCTCCACCATCTTGTAGTTTGGAAGAGACCTGAAGTTTGCAGCTTGGGTATGGATCAGGAATCCAAGCAGACACTGGAACAGTGGTCCCAGTGCTGATATCAGATTGGGAAGAGAATCAAATGTGAGAAGCCAGGGGCTTGGAAGGCACCTCTGCTGCCCTGGGAGTGAGCAGGGAAGTGATGGCTGCTGATGTTTGGTCTCCTCGTGAATTTACTTAGCAAGAAGCATGGCATTGGGGGTGTATCAAAACCCACCCACCCCCAGTTATTCTCATGACCCCCACTGTGCCCTCTGGGAGCTTGCAGGACCATCTGTTGTCAGATAATTTCCCAGGATTCCATTTCCTAACGTCCTTGTAAATCGGGGCAATCATGAAAATTGCTTTCTTTTCATTTTTGTTTTAAATTTCTTAACAGTGTGTTGAACATGCTGAGCAATTTCCAACAGCAATAAATACGATTCGAGGACATAATTTTTAATGACTGCATAATGTTCCACCAAATGGAGGTTCCATTATTTATTCAGCCATTTTCTTGTCGTTGGACATCTGAGCTGTTCGCATGTTTTCTCTACTCTTCTTCTGGCCACTATAACATGACAAAGATCTGGCTTGAAAATCTGTCTTTTTCTTTTGTTATTTTCTTCATTGCATCTCTAATTGTGTGCATGGGCACTCAAAGGCTTGTATGAGAGACTCAGGTTCATTTACCAGGGTGTTTGTGTGAACAGCTTGCAAGAATCATTTCTTTCCTTCCACAGTGTGGGTCATTAGGATTGGCAGCAGGTGCCTTTACCCCGCCCCCCAGACCCTGCCACTCCCCGAGCCATCTCATTGGCCCTGTTTGTTGAGAAAGGGTCTCATATATTCCAGACTGGCTTCAAAATACCTATAGTGTAGGGGCTGGCCTTGAACTCCTGATCCTTCTGCCTTTGATCCCTGAGTGCTGGGATTATAGGCTGCTACTCCTTGTTTGTATGGACAGGGGACCAAACCCAGGGCTAAGTGCTTAGTGCATGCTAGGCAAGAGTCTACCAACTGAGCCATACATACATACATAAATGTATTTTATGTATGTGTATACATGTGCGTGTGCACGTAAGTGCAGTTACCTGTGGAGTGCAGAAAAAGACATTGGATCCCTGGAGCTGGAGTTAAAGTGGTTGTGAGCCACCTGGTGTGAGCACTGAGAACTTACCCTGGGTCCTCTGCAAGAACAGTGAGCACCTAACAGCTGAGACGTTTCTCCATCTCCTGTTTGTTTCTTAAATACTGTTTCTCAAACTTTTCTCAAATCCACAAGCTGTTTCTATGGTTTGAAATATCTGTTTACCATTCTTAACACCGGTGAAATGTCTGAATTCTCAATAATTTATTCTACAATGAACCTGATACATGTTAACATCACTTGCATTAATTTTTTTGTTTTATTTGTTTTTTGTTGTTGTTGTTGTTGTTTGTTTCTAGACAGGGTTTCTCTAACAGTCCTGACTATTCTGGAACTCCCTTTGTAGATCACTCAGAGATCCACCTGCCTCTGTCTCCCAAGTACTGAGATTAAAGGTGTGAGCCATTACTACTAGCTAGCCTTGATTTGTTTTTGTTTTGTTTTAACTGAGAAGTAACTGTCCCTACTTGAAAAGTTTTGAGAGGAGTACAGCATTGTATCTGATGTTTTTGTTATTTGTTTTTTTGAGGCAAGCTCTCTCCATAACCCTTGGAGCTTACTATTTAGA